CGACGAGCAATGGTAAGCACTGTTGATATTTAATGGCAAATTGCAACACAGAGATGAAATATTTGAAGTTTCCTAGTACCATTCAGATCTATCAAATATTTCCTCGTCCTTCGAGAATAAAATAGTAGAATCGCAACTTTTCGAAAGTTTCAGCTGGAATTTGAACTCCAGACAAAACTCAAATCCGAAGTTCCCTAGTTAAACTTGAACTTTGACCGAAACTCTTCGGAGTCACGGATTGTACACACGTTCACAAAATCATTGAACATCAATAGGGACATTGATAAGCTAAACGATCCCGTTGAAGTACACAAACAAAAATTTAATTCCAAAAATACTAATTTCTAACAAAATACCAAACTAATCTAAGATATACAATCTGCAATCCACAGCCATATTCTCCAAAACTCTAATTTCTCGTTCAGATCTCCAGTACGCGACCCTTCAGAAGCAATCCAATTTAATCAAAAGACGTAAACGAGCACGAGTAACAGCCAAACAGCCCCGGCAAACGCGCAAATTAATCGCAACGCGTTACCTAGCTTCCAGTTCAGAAGTGCCAGGAAGCCCTCCTCTCTCGAAACAGAAAAAACAGCGAACCAAAAAGAAAGTATCAAAAAATCCAACAAAACCGTCGTCGCGTTCTCCGAGTCGAGTCGCGGGAAAGCGTCGGGGCAGCGTCGCGCGGGAAACACGCAGTTACTCCAATTTTCTGAGTGGTTAAAAAGTGAGAGGGCGCGGACGGCGGGACGATGGGGCGGAAGGGGGACGTCGGAGAGAAAGCGCGAAGGTAACGAGCTTCCATTTCGTCTTGATGGCCGCATTAGCCACATTTCAATAGAGCAACCGCGTTGTTTTACCGTGACCATTGTTCCACGTCTCTCTCTCTCTCTCTCTCTCCCTCTCTCTCTCTCTCTGTCCGTCTCATTTTGAGAGGAAAGACAGAAAGGGTGTTTTCGAGGGTGGAGGTTGGGGGAATAGCGGTGTAACGCCCTTTTCGTACCGTCGGGCAACGTATTAGCACCAGGAATGCAAATAATTGTTCGACGCAGTGTGTACAGGGTGGCGAAAGCAACCCTGGAATGTAAATAGAGCCGACTTCTAGGCACCCCCGCAGCGGCGACTCCACTTTACGTACAGTCCACTCCTCGAGCGATATCGGCTCTTCCGCGGCGCGCATGCAACGGTGATCGAGCGGCTCGCCCGGTACGCGCGCGCTGCGCCAGCCACCCGGGGAACCTTGGCATCCCTCTTGGTTACCACGGCATCCGCGGAACGAGCTCCTCGAGTTTCTCTCCAATCAGCCGAATCTCGCCGCCAGCTTTGGTTTTCATTAACCTGCTAATTCCTGACGCTAGCGGGAGAGACGAGCTTCGTCACTCGTTTCGTTTCTGGAATTATATGGATAACTGGTTGTTATTCTTTATGCCTTCATGGATTTTTGTGGGACATTTTTGTTGTCGTAGGAATTGGATAGAGTATTATTTAGTATATCACGGGTTTTATGGTATTACGGGAATATACGAAGATTTGTCTATGGCCCTGTTATTTTGAATTTCTGCTTTAACGCGAGTCGAATATTTTATATGGAATAATCCGTGTTGTTCATGGGAGTGTTTGACCAGAAACATTGACTTGTTTAAAATCATACAATTTTTGTTATTATTGCTGTACGTGGGAAACGTGATTCTTTGTTCGGACATGAAAACTTATGCTTTCAATAATACGTTACATAAGAAATTCGATTAAAATCTGTATGGTACAACAGTCTCGATATTATATATTTAACTTACTCCATTAAACTTCTTAATTTCGAATTACCTGTAGAGTACTAACTATATAAGTAAATTAGAAAACTAAAGTTGTTACGAATATCGTAGAACCAAATGAATTATTTGAAGAAAAACACATCCCCAATCCCAGGGAAGCTCGAACGAGACACGTCGCAGTCCGCGTCAAGAAAGGATCCGGCGTCCAAAGAAAAGCGACGGGAAATTCCGTCCGCGGGGACGGATCCTCCATTTCCGATACAAAGGAAGAACGTGCCGGAAGGGCGCGTGACGGTCGTCGGATTTCTCGGGGCCGGAGCATCTGAACGCGAAGAGTAACGTTCGGCACGGGGCAATAAAGTATCGCATCTCGTCGCGGCGACGCGATTAATCGCGGCCCGGCAAGAATTAATTGCCGACGCCGCGATAATTTATCGCCGCCGGCCTCGCCGCGATATTTTACGCGGCCGCTTATTTTTCGTGGTTCCACGCGACCACGTGATAACCCACCGCGCGTTTTTCCCTACCTTAAGGAAGAAAAACTGCCGGAGCGGAAGTTCACGGAGCGATGTAAGAAACGATGGAAGCTGAAAACTGAAAGGGTTTAGCAACAATATTGGAGCTGCAACGAGAGAACAGTTGAGGATAAGAACGTTTTTCTTGTCGACTTTCCTAGGAAAAGCTAACGATCTTGCGAGAGCGATGATCGACACGCGAGAAATCGATTCTCCCCCAAAATAGAATTCGTGCTGTGGTATTGTATATGTAATGTGAACTTAGTGGTATTGACTAAAATTCGCTTTTGTTCTCTAAAATGTCATTATTGTTTTGTTAAGCTATTCTGGCAGTATTATAATATAATATTATTACAATAGAAATTAAACCTATAAATAAATCCTAAAAGTTGCTTCTATAACTTCTACCACTTTCCTCTCCAATATTTCTTCCTTTGAATGACAGGCTCTGTTCTACGAGATATTCATTCGCGCAAAATGGATCTCCGTGAAACGGACTACACATACTACATACTACTACACATAAATGGAAGGTGCAGTTGTTTTGCGAGCAGCCTTGTAACAATCCTCGCACGACGCGTTCTCCGTGACCTCGCATCCTTGTAATTGTATCGATACTAACGAGACTTCGTCTCATCAGAGCGAAACACGTTGTTTTTGTAGCAGTCGGTAAGAAAACACGTTGTTGCCGGTACAACTTCCGTGGTATTTTCTACTATCCCGTGTCAGTTCTTACAGCGACGACCCCCTTTTCTTTACGAGCGCTCCGCGGACACGTTTCCGCGGAATTCGTGCGATCGTTCGCCTTATCATTTCCCGTTTAACCTTGCTCCGCGTCGCGTCTCCTTCGATCGCGGATAAAGTATGCATGAGCCATGGCCGGGCTTTATCGCGCGATGTCTTAATCCCTCGGAAGCTCACAATGCTTGTTAAATTATTCATCGTGCGTTGCACCATCCCCTCCCACCGCCACTGGCGCACTGTCGCGATTTCCTTTCTTAACCCGCGTTTATTGGTTTCGAACATTCCTACGATCTCTCCGGAAATTTAATGTTTTAACCGTTCGCACCTCTGAGAGACGACTCGTCGTCATTTGGTTTGATATAGTGATATTATAAAGTTCGATGTTCCGTATCAAAGTTCGTATAATGTAATTATACACGAAACGTTGAGATTGAACAGTTTTGCCACTTGATTCTTGTATTGTTTATATTTGTGTTAGTTGTAAAAGTTATCGTTAATATTTGATTGAAAACTGGTGAATGTATCTATTAGGAAACTGACTAGTTTTAATAAACGAACAATTGAGATACGCGTTCATGTAATTGCATCAATCAAAAACGAAAAATTAGTTGTTTTATAGTTACTGAAATCGTAAAGGTGTCAAATACGAGAATATTCTTTTGTTAAAAATATTCTCTTTTTCCCGGTTTAATAAATTGGCCCCAGAAAATATTTTATCGGTTACGTTATTCACGGTTTCGGGAGGGAAGAATAATATAAAACAAAGCGTTTATGATGAATGAAATATGTTGTTTGGTTATTTATCTTCAGCCGGGTGAAATATTCGGCATTGTTTGGGTTTGTTGGCGTATTATTTGTTTATGGATGTACGAGGTTATTTTATGTGAAAAGGAACTGAACAATTGTTACTGTTGAATCATGAAACATTTTTCGAACTGAAATTTCGAATTTTCTAAAGAAGTAATGTTTTTAAATACATTCATTAATAACGAGGATATTTAAGTGCTTTTTGATTTGAAACATATAAAAACACAAGCATCATTTCGTTTATTCACTAAAAAACTGTTTGGTAATGGAATATGTTATTACGTATAAGTAACTTCAATAAAAGATTATTCTAAACTCAGCACACGAAATTTCTGAACGGGTAATATTGTTTCAAACACATTGTTATCTAATCATTGGCATTTTGATGTTTACAACGAAGGGTTTCATCTTATTAGCGAGATACAAGTATAACAGGAATCTGTATACGGGAATTACATAAGAGCACCGTAAGCTGCAAATGCATAGTGCAATTGTAGATTGTCAATGTAAATTCTAATTACATAATGCAACTGTAAGCAGCAAGTGCCGCATGCTATTGTAGAATGCATCTACAGACTGCATTTGCATTTATATAATGTAATTGCGAAATTCAGCCATGCTACACAGATACAAGATGTAATTGAAGTCGTGTGACTGAATAGTGTAATTACACGATACATATGTATACACGTATAAAATATCCACAAAATGCAATGTTAAATGGAAACAGCTGTAAAATATATTCTGTAATTTCAAATGCTGTCGGAAGTTGTAACTGCATGGAAATCAGGAAATTAATAAAAATTCAAGTTCATTCATTCACGAATTATCAATCATTATTAGGGCCGATTTATGATCATGGAAAGCATGAATATGGAATTTGCTAGACATGTAATTAATGTATCCATATCGTATAATTAATAAAATTTTTATTCCTGTTCACTTTTACCACTGACTCGTAATCACGGAATTCCCCATAAATATCGATTTAATTAGAATTACAACGACACGTAATCCGTACAATGTTGCATCAATTACAAATTTATCCATTCAAGAATCACCCCTAATTTCGATTGGTAATTCGTTGATCATGAAATTCTACGTTAAAGTAGATTCCAATGGAATTACAATACACTTATTAATAAAATACACTCTTTTATTGCAGAAATTGCAAACGATCGCCGAGGACTTCTGCGGATTGGACGTGAACACGCCTTTGGGCGGCGAGGATGCGGTTGAGGGTACTCCTGTGATCACGTTCGAAACTCATCTCACAGCGGTCGTGGCTACATCCACCGGCGACTACACCGTCGTCTTCGTGGGCACCAAGGGGGGTCACCTGAAGAAGGTCAGTGCACGATACTCTTTTATCTATTCGATCGAAGAAAGCGCGATGAGGCGCTCGAACGGTACCGCCTGTTTCATTAGGCCAGCCTTGTACACTCGTTATCCCCTTGCTGGTTATTTTTCAGTATCGCCTGATCCTTCCACAAGGCGACATCTGACTCCTCTTTCACGGCCTTTGGCCTTTCGTGCCGGACGGTGCGCGATATTTTCACACCGCCCGCGTAACTTCCGTTTCATTTCTTTCAAAATGTCATTTATAAACAATTTGCGATCCGTATCTATTCATCGATAGAAAATTCGTTGATACAGGATACTGTATAATCATTATGAAAATGGTTTGTTCATAAATCAAGAAAATACATCGTAATTCATTCTCATGAAACTAATTTTCTATGCATAAACTGTAAATACTCGTAAATTTACTAAACATAGATAATACTTTTAACCCGATCGAAACGCGTTAAATATCTCGATACAAAGTACCACGAAGTTCCACGTCCACGCTAAACAGTTCAAATACCGGTTCATACACATTCGCGAAACAAATCACCAACATACCTCGAGCGAACCAGAACGCTTGGCCAAAGTCGGCGCAGCAGTTCGCCAGCCATAACCGATGGAAGCTGCCGCGTCGGTACTAGTTCCCGATGCCCGTATCCCCCTGGACATAATTAATCCCGAATCGGTGGCGAAAGTAATCACAATAGATATTAATGCGAGCGACAGAATCGGGGCTACAGTGAAATCCGCTTTCTACCGGTGTTCCATTAGCCCCGGTTCAGGTAGCCATTTACCGGCTATCGTTGCTCGCGAAGCGTTAACGCTTAACGAGGCTAATGGAGTCCGTGGACCGTCTCCAGCCTCGCTGGAACTTCGCCGCCGCTGCCGGTGGAACTCGCGCTCTCCTCGAACTCGACGTATCAAATGCCGTCGAGCAGTGAGATCCGCGTACCCACGCCCACGCGCTCGGCCGCGGACGGGCTTCCTCGATCGTTAAATTAATCCTGATCCGGGCGCGATTATATTCGCCCGGGACGATCGTGAATCAAACGGAACGCGACCCGCGTAATTGGCCAGGCGGCCGGCGATGGAAAATCCGAACGGCCGCCGGAAAAAAGGACGCGCCGCGCCGCGCCGCGCGAATAGTTATAAAGTTATGGAGCTCTAACCTTCGACGGGGGATAGAGAAAAAGGAACGAAGTGCCGACGGATCGTTAACCGGCCGCCTCTCGCGTTTCCAGGATCGCGATATCCCGCCGTTCGGCCTCCTCGAATCTGTCGCGATTAATCACGATTATCGGGGCTAAATCCTCTCCGATTTCTTCCGCGTGGCCGGGTCCCGGACCCTCGTCTCCCTCGTCTTATTTTCGAAATCACGTTACTCGATATCGCTGGAAAACGATCGCCGGGGGAACGTAAACTAGCGGAGATATTGCCGGATACGAGCGATTTCATTCGGTGCCGGGGACGCGGTTCTATGCTGCAACGGGGCGACGTTTGGCCCGGGTTTCGGTGATTTCGATGCGCGACTGAGAGGAGAGACCGTGACCCGACTGCCGATTATACGCCGCTGACCGGTCGAACGGGACCACGCGAATTTCATTGTTGTCCTATGGAAATGGTAATTTGTTTGTTTTTGGGGGAAAACAGTTCCATTGTCAGTCATTATTTCCGCGGACGGTTCACTCGGAAATGATTGGAACACGGTTTATAGTAATGATAATTATTACCGCACAATAATCGTCTCAAACGCGTTGGAAAGAAAGAACACGGGTGATTCAAGATAACCGGTGTTCATTAATTTTATTTGTATACCTTGGCAGCGTTAAACTTTTTCATCGGCGTGCACCGCGGGCAACCAACTTCTTCGTTATTAACCATTCTTCGAATAAACCAGTCATCAGAGACGCAGGAACTGCGTCGCGATACATTATTACCGCAGAATCATTATCCGAACGTGTTAAAAAGAACGCGCCAGAACGATCCAAGATGGCCGCCGCCAGCACGCGCAACGCGAAGCGATCGGGAAATTATGGACCTCCGGTCGGCGCTCATCAGCATCATCCGTGTCGTTAGCCGCGCGACGATTTTCCGAGAAAATCGCGATGCCCCGCGGATTCCTGCCAATTAATCACAATTACCGGTCGCCGGTGGATCTTCTTCAATTTGTTCCGCGATGGACACGCGGCTGGAGCACTGTCCGCGCGCCGCGGTCCCCCGCCTGTCTATCGCGATCGTTGAATTAATCCTAATCGGCGCGCCATTATGCGGCCGACGATTTGCATACTGTGACGGGATTTTTGCGGGGGCCGGGGAGGGCCTCGCGCATTCATTAGCGGGCGTTAAAGAAAATGCAAAATCGCGGCCGGGAAATCAAAGTACGAAAGGGAAGTTATCCTGGAAGGGTCTCCGGGAAATTTGCAAGTTAACGAAGTTTCGCCTGCTACACCCCCCCTCCCACCGATAATCCCTCCTCCGTCCCGTCCCCTCTGCGCCGCTGTCTCCGTCGCCGCCGCGTGCATCGCCCCTCTCCGTTATTCATCGTGATTAATTAAAGCCGGCCGTGGCCGTGGATCGCCGGGGTTCGATTATAATTATCTATGTGCAAACGCGAAACTCAAATAGCTCTGGCGAACGAGCGAGCGAGCGCAAATACGCCGTGCAAATTCGCTGAAAGGAACACGGGATCGCTCGATCCCCGTTCTCTTAACTGGCGCTGGACTATTAAAAATTTATCGATGTCCGCGCGTTTGATCTCGCGGCCCCGGCTACTCGCACCGTGTATTAAATTTTCGAGACCCGCGATTCAGCTACGCGAACTATTAACCCCTGCGGTCGGAGGCGGCTTCGCGATTTTCGGTTTTAAACGGTCGAGGAATATTCTTGGCGCAGATCGCGCTCCTGGATTTGAACGCGCGCTCGTTCGGGGCTATATACTGGGCTTCGGTCGGCACGCGAACTCGATTCTCGGGGAGAATTGCGTTGGGTAATTAATGGGAAATTTATCTTTGTAGTTTGTTTGAGGATATTGCAGTTTTCGTTCATCGTTGAGGTGATTTTCTTAGATTTTTGTTGGGTTCCGATAAGGCAGGGGAATAATTTTTGTCGATTAGCGAGGCGCTGAGGTCTCGAAGTGAATACTCATCTGTGAGTTGTACTCGTGAAACATGAAAGTTAGTTTCTATACTGCAGGTACATTTTGCGGTTGAATCTAGTTGATTTGCGATCATCCTTGCGATGGATACTCTTAACCATTTTGTATTTTACAATTTACAAATAGATACTTTCTTAATTCTCCACTTTTTCGAAAATTCAGTTTATTGTCAATATTTGAGGGTAAACTTATTGGAATAGAATTACGTTAAGATTACGCCGTCTGAATCCTTTCAGGCGAAGTGAAGACAATTACTGTCAACGGGGACGAGGTTGAATACTAAGCCGGAAAAATCCGGGAATAAGACGGGATTCCGTAATGCTATTTACTTCGACCGAATGAAATTTTCGAGTAAATTTCCCGCTGCCGAAACCGTCGGCGGTACAAAATTTCCTCGGTATGCACCGCTGGAACCGCGCAGGAAAATTTGCTTACGACGTGAATACCTGTTCAAGAATAGTAAACGCGAATTATATGCGAGCCGTGCAACTCCGTGCAGCGCGGGCGCAAGAAATCTTCCCGAATGTAACGCGTTTAACATTATTAAATCGTGCAATTATGTTGCAATTCATTCGTACGCGACGCGGAATCTCGTTCGCCTTCGCGGATAAGCAACATTGCATTAAATATGTTAATTAGAGTGTACCCGTATGCCAACGTTCATTGTACTATCAAAATGAGTGGGTTTGACCCAATTAAAATAATTAAGCGTCATTAAAGATGAACTAAATATTTGAAACAGCTCCGAGAACGAATTACGTGGCGACAAAATTCTACTAATTATGTTACATCTTTCGGATAATCTCGTTCCTCTACTAATTTAGAATTCCAGATTATTTCGATTTAATCTTGAAACAGTGTGGTGCACGTCATAAGTGCTCTGAACGCACAACATATTAATTTGCTTTAATCCTGCAACATTCTTGTACTCGTCGTGCACCTTGCTGTCCTTGACAGAAAGTGTCCAATCGAAACAACGAAACATTTCTCATAAGCTTCATTCGACATTCATTACCGAAATACAAAACTTGAAAATCAAAATTACCATTTTTCGAACCTATCTAAATACATTTTTACTCGGCATTCGATACTCCTTCAAATGTCTTAAACATTGAATCTTAAAAACACTCGAACTGCCATAAAATAGGAAAAATAACAAAACCGTGAAATATTAAACTGCCGCCATCAATCACACAATTTTTTATAAAAATACTTTGTTCACGTAACAAGTAGTTTCCAAATAACCCAATGCAACATTAACCCTTTGCGGACGGACGTCGACATTTTGGCCAAATGAAATGTTCATATTTGGAATATTAAGTTGCAAACGAATGATTTCGTTACTCGAATAGGAAGAGATCAGTGTATAATTTCCTTCTTTTCTATTGTTTAAGCATTCGATGTATAATTCAGCATCATATGTTACCAGCTTTGTGTACTTTAAAAAGTCTTCGTTCGCAAAGGGTTAAGTACCTCACTCCGTACGCAAATTTCCGAAACAGGACACACTACGTGCGATCAGTGCCCGCGACGTCCAAACTGAATTGTATATCTAAAGTAACAGTTGTCGCGCCAGGACATCGGTCACAGGACATTGCGAGACGCGTTCGCCGTAAAGCTGCGTATCCACCGCGAGAGTATCGCGGAACAGCGAAGAGACATGGAGAACACTTTCACGGTCCGGGAACATCCGCGGGAAGATTGCGTATCGTTGTTTAAGGGATCGATAAATCTTGACGTTCGTAGGCGACGGACAGATGGAGATTTCGCGCGTGCGCCCGTCCCCGCGAATGAAATAAATTTACAACGAATTACGGGGACGTTGACCGGTGCCCGACAACGCTCGC